ATCCCAGTTCAGGTGCTCCACAACCAGACTGCATTTATGGCTGTTCTCCAGCATCCTGTGGTCATGTGACATCAATTTGCAAATTTTTTTTTGTCAGAAACCAGCATTTACTTCCAGTTTCTGGCAAAAAAAAATGCCCATTGTGAACGACGGGTTCAATTTAACGGCAATGATGTTCACTTAACAACCACCACATTTGCTTAACAGACAACATGTTTGCTTAGCAGCTGTTGAAAAAAGATCATAAAACCAGGCACGTTCATGTGATGACCCACTCAATGACCAACATGACTTATGATTGCAATTCCAGGCTCAGTTATAATCAGTCGAGGATGCCTATACAGGTAGTCCTCGACTTATGGTCACAATCGAGCCCAATACTTCTGTTGGTAAGCAAGACAGTTGCTAGGTGAGTTTTGCCCCATTTTATGACCTTTCTTGCCACAGTTGTTAAGTGAATCACGGCAGTTGTTAAGTTAGTGACACTTTTGTAAAGTGAATCCAGTTTGCTTGCCAGAAGGTCGCAGAGGGTGATCAGATGACCCTGGGCCACTGCGACAGTCATAAGGAGGAGCCAGTTGCCCAGTGTCTGAATTTGGATCATGTGACCTTGGGGAGGCTGCAACGGTCGTAAGTGTGAAAAATGGTTATAAGTCACTTTTTTCAGCGCTGTTGTAACTTCGAATGGTCACTAAATGAAGGGTTGTAAGTTGAGGGCTACCCATACATGTTGGACTTTAACATCTACCGTACATTCTTTTGGAGCAAGGCTTTCTAATGAATATTCTCCTCTTTGGGTCTATTTAGAGAGCAGATTCTGTCCTCTCCCTTCATTCCCCACCCTTTTCTCCCCTTTCAATGTTAATCAAGATCTGATAGATCAGGTCTTCAATGAATTTCTCTCCTCTCTGCTTTTAGACTTTCCTTCCTTCCTTCCTTCCTTCCTTCCTTCCTTCCTTCCTTCTTCCTCTGAATCCTATAGATGTCTCCTTCTTGTACACCATCATTTTAGCTACATAAAGACCACAACTCAAGAAATGTAAATTTGCGGTTGGTATGTAGGATTGCAGAGCCCTGATAATGCAGCGTTTGTGCCAGTTGGGTATTCCAAACTGCTGAAAGCAGTTTGATAATAAATACCTACAAGTCCATCTTTCCATTTCTCAGCTGGAGGAAAAAATAAAGAAATATGTCTGAATAACAGTATAAAGAAGGTAAATTATATGTGGTCTGGAGCACAATGACTGGACATCTTCTCTTCCAGGACCTCTTTCCCAGAGAGGGATTGTTCCATCACAAACATGTCATCCTGGAGCTGGATTCCCACCCCCATCCTATTTCCCATACACACACAATGACTGATGGCCATAAAGAGAAAATTTTGAGAGAGGAGCCCAGCAAAGAAAGAATCACAATGCATTTTGCACATAGCCACTCAAAAGGAAGAACATCGGAAGTTGTTTCAGACCAATGTTTTAGTTATACTACCAGCCTTCTGTCTGGTCTAAGGTTGCTCCAGACAGAGAGAAGCAAGGTATGGGTGAAGCCAGCTGACAGTTCCATCTGACACAATTTGCACTGCCTACGTAGCCTATCATTTTTCAGGGGCAGTGAAAGCTGTGGTCCCATCACTAGCATTGAAAAAAGTGACTCCATTGCCAAAAGCTAAGGGAGAGGTCCAGCTTTTTTCTTCATCTCAAGGAATGACATGTTTGGGGCCAGCACTATGCTCTGCAGAAGTTTTAGGAAAAGAGTTTTTTTTCCAGCTCTACCCAATGGTACCCCCAGAGATAGTCCAAGGCTCACACCTTAGGAGGATTCCTAAATAATTGTGTTGATGAGCCCTGCTGTATAAACTGTTGAATAGGCTAGCAGGCAGAGATGGTCTTTCTTGCAGAAGGCAGTTCTGGGGTTGCAAGCTAGTAAAGGTCCCAAAATGGCATAGAAGCAATCTCCAACATTCACTGTGCATCTGCATTTTGCTATTCTTATTCCCGTTCATTTGTTTACCTGCTAAGCAAATCCAATGTCACTATGTGGAGCTTATGGACAACAATATATTAATTTCAATGTAGATATCAATATGGATATGTGTGTGTATGTGCACGCGCGCACGTGCGCACGTGCGCACACACACACACACACACACACACACACACACCTGCATACATAAACAAACAGGTGTACTTTTATGGAAAAACTGCAAATGAAATATTAAATATTTCTACCCAAAGTTAATCTGGCAGAAAATATGTTTAAATAAAACAATCTTTAATTAAATGTTTAAGCTCTTGCTGTTTTTTTTTTTTTGATCAAAGCAATTTTCCACATCTTTAAGTACTTTTGATTCAAAGAAAAATATACTTTAGTTTTTCCATTTTTCATTTTGACAACAGACCTAGTGGTTAACAACAGGAATCAGTTTACATCAATGTACATTCAGAAAAATAATAAAACTAAAGAAGGATTGTCAAAAATGGTTGGGTGAGGTTCCTGAATTCTTCAAAACATACATCTCAAAGGAATGACTAATTGGGCATGGGTAATTATCTACCATGACTAATTACCAGAGATAATGTTATCTACCAGTTATTGAAAATGCATTCCTTTGATCCTAATCTAATAAATTAGCTAGCTTTACTACTATATCACAAAAGCTCTTAATTTGGAGATTGCTGAACTAAACCTTCTAGCTGATTATTTGCATTTTATATTAGTTTGAAATGTAATCAATATATGACTTTTGAATTAATGTATCCAAAGTTCATATTAATTTATAAACCTTGGAATGCCTGTGTTGAAGTAAACAGTGTGACTTCCTATGCTCCTCCTCTCCTGGCACACTCTATGTCCCCTCCCCAAATATAATTTCCAACCAGCAATCCTGAGGCAGGAAAATATGATTAGGAGAAGAACCATTTAGAAATATTCTGTTTTACTGTTTGACGTATGTTCAATGATACAGACTTCTACCTCGTGAGTCAAGTCACCACTTACCGTTTAAGGACATCCCAACGACATTTTGTAAAGATATCACGACATTTAAAGGGGTCGGGAAACGATTCTTAGTTATTTTATATAGGGTCGGTACTTTTTGCATGTCTACTTTTTACAGAATACATTTAAATTACTTGAAGGATCACAAACTTTTGTAACTGATTTTTTTTTATAGAATTCGCCCTTAGCCACTGACCAGCAAGCCAGGGTCAGTTTATTTTGGGCTGACAGTTTGGTCACTGTAAAATTAATTGCTAATAATTTACACTCTTTTCTCCTGTCCATCCTTCATTCCAATGCTGTTTGCTTATATAGGTGACAACAACCTTTAGTCTATGTCTGGGAATTCACTATTTCTGTTCTATTCTCTTATATACTAGATTGTCATTGAGTCGTATTTTGGAAGAATAGTAGACCCTTGGAACCAACAGTCCTGCCCATAGGTGGGCAGAAAAAAATAAATGAAAATAGCTTACCTTACATAAAGGGAACAATTCATTGATCTGGTAATTGTAGATTTTGATGTGGGGGCATGTCCTAAGAAACTGCTCCCCATTTGATGATAGGGTTGCAATGTCAGCACCATAAAAGGGTTTTAACACCAGCAATTTATAGTGGACATAATACTGGACTCTGAAATTTAGGAGAATCAATCCACACAAAATGTTATGTAGAAAAATGCATTCTGTTTCATGATTTTTTCCTTTGAGAGGATGAAGCTTTTTCTGTGATATATTTCCTCTCTGCGATCCTTCTAATCAGAAAAATTAAGATATAGTGGTATTTTACACACGCCAGAATTCTGATCTTTTCCTTTATATATATATATATATTTTGGCTGTTTGTTTTCTTCAACCAGTGTCTCTTTGACTAGTTTTTCTATACATAGGCAATTTCTCCATTAGACACGATCGCATTATTTTTAGCATCACTCAACCTTTATTGAGATGATATAAAACCTATCTTCATTATTGCTACATTAGCACAGTGGCTAATGACTTTAGAAGGTCATCAGTGGGGATCCCATTTTAAAGAAATTTCATATAACAGGTTCCGCTCAGTTTGATGTGGCCAATTCACCTTGAACATATATCTTTCCATAGTAAGCCAGTCTTCAAAACAGTCTTTTGTTCAAAGACCTTGAAATAGTGTAGTGTGATAACCTTAACCTTAGGTCAGATTGAAGTTATCATAGGGCTGCAACTTTGCAACACTATAAAGCCTGACCATTTTATCCACAAAGTCCATATTATTGCACGCATTGGCTGAACTTGTCTATGCAAAGCATATGCCAGAATTCTCCAACCTGGTAGCTGCCCTGATGAGTCATTTACAGTTCCAATAATCACCAATCAGAAAACTTAACAAAAAATTGAAATGGTTAAGTTTGAGTAATGTTTCCCACTCTGGAGGATGCTAGCTTGGGGTTAGCGTAATATATTTTTTTCCATCATGTGATTGGTTTCAGCATATGAAATCTAACACAAAAGTTTCAGTTGGTTGTATGACAAATGACAGTTTCATGTTTTTGTATGCTAAAATGTATTACAGGTAGTCCTCAACTTACGACCACAACTGAGCCCAAAATTTGTTGCTAAGTGAGAAATTTGTTAAGTGAGTTTTGCCCCATTTTACGACTTTTCTTACCACATTTGTTAAATGCAATTGTTAAAGTTAATAACATGGTTGTTGAGTGAATCTGGTTTCCCCATTGATTTTGCTTGTCAGAAGGTTGCAAAAGATGATCACATGACCCCAGGACACCGCAACCGTCATAAATGTGAGTCAGTTGGCAGGCATTTGAGTGTAAATCACATGACCGTGGGGATTCTGCAATGGTCATAAATGTGAAAAATGGTCATATGTAACTTTTTAAAATGCCGTTGTAACTTCAAATGGTCACCGAGTGAACTGTTGTAAGTTGAGGACTACCTGTACAGGAATATAATAATATAATAGTTTTGAGAACACTATTTTTATGGTCCCTCCTCTCCATTTTGCAGATGGGATCCACAGTGTGACAGCCCAGTGTGTCCTGCGTGTCATTATCATCACCGAAGACATGTTGGCCAACAGTATCACGGTGCGCCTGGAGAACATGTGGGAGGAGCGTTTCTTGTCACCTCTCCTTGCCAACTTTCTAGAGGGCGTGGCTACTGTGCTGGCCACGCCCAAGGAGGATGTCTTCATCTTCAACATCCAGAATGACACAGATGTTGGAGGACAAGTGCTGAATGTCAGTTTCTCGGCAATGTCGCCCCGGAGTGGCCACTTTTTTAGTTCAGAGGAGCTTCAGGAACAGCTGTACATGAAACGCATGACCCTGACCTCAGTCTCCATGCTGGAAGTGTTGCCCTTTGATGACAATGTTTGCCTCCGGGAGCCCTGCCAAAACTATATGAAGTGCATCTCAGTGCTCAGGTTCGACAGCTCATTTCCTTTCATCGCCTCCCTGTCCACCCTCTTCCGACCTATCCACCCTATCACAGGCTTGCGCTGCCGCTGCCCTCAAGGCTTCACTGGCGATTACTGTGAAATGGAGATTAACCTCTGCTATTCCAACCCCTGCCTCAACGGTGGAATCTGCACGCGCAAGGAAGGAGGCTACACCTGCATCTGTCGCCAGCACTTCACAGGTCAGGGCTTAATTCTGCTGCGATTGGAGGCGGGCTATTGGCTCCCTATTTTCAAGTGCTTCCATATTTCATGGCTCTGTTTGGGTGTGAGAGACTCCGCCCACTGTTAAGGGGAGGCTCCGCTCGCTTTGAGTAGTGACCCCAACGATGCTAATGCTACAACAACTAATTTGGCAATTAGCTAATTCTGCCCCTCTTTGGTGGAAAGAGAGGGTCAGAAAGGTATTAGCAAGGGAAGGATTTTGCTGTGCAGAAGCTAATTAAGTTATGTATTAATGAAGATGAACATGAAGTCATAGTAAGAAACATAGATGTCTACCACTTCCTTCATGTCAAGGGATTTTTCAACACTCATGATAGATTTGTAACTTAACTAACCATTTGTTAGGTACTGGTTGTTGTGGGGAGGACTGTTTTCCTTTTGCTTTTCCATAATGGTTTGTTTCTGTGTATAGAAAGTCTTATTGAGTGTTTCAGCAATTGCCCATAGCTGCTTTTTACAGTCTTACTAGAAAAGCGCCACATTCACTAAATACTGGTTTTTTGAACTAGGGCAAACTTTTCAGATTGCTGTCTAGACTAGTTTTCTCTTCCTGTCCAATAGTTCAAGAATGTCTCTTCGGGAAATTTAAAGGCACCTGGGATGATCTCAGCACAGCCATGTCAGAAGCAGTTAGATGGATAGCTTCCTTAAATAATGAATTATAACGTCTATGCCATTGCAATTGTATGGCTCCATAGTGTGGTGTTTTTATTATGATTTTATCTTAATTTAATATATTATCTCCTATATTGTATTAATCTCTATATCTTTATCTCTGTCTCTATCTCTATCTCTGTCTCTATCTCTGTCTCTATCTATCTATCTATCTATCTATCTATCTATCTATCTATCTATCTATCTATCTATCTATCTATCTATCTATCTGCTGACACTATATTTAAACTAAATTTATATATCAGTGATTGCATGACCTCTGTAGATGCTATCTGTTAAATAAAATAAAAATTCCAGTCCACGATAGCATGGCAAGGGAAATTGGGGTAAAGGATGAGATCAATGCCACGCTGGGTGAAAGCTGCATCCTTTTCATGTAGCTTTTAACAGTCTGGCTGTAGGGGAACACAGTTATATCAAATTTTATTAGATAACATTGTTCTCATTTTAAAATCAGCAGATATGATGATCATTTGAGGCTTCTGCTATTTTTTATTTGAATATTGGGGCTGCTATAATTGATGCAAGCAATAGGATCTGCCTTAATAAGTTAATTTCATCTNGCATCCTTTTCATGTAGCTTTTAACAGTCTGGCTGTAGGGGAACACAGTTATATCAAATTTTATTAGATAACATTGTTCTCATTTTAAAATCAGCAGATATGATGATCATTTGAGGCTTCTGCTATTTTTTATTTGAATATTGGGGCTGCTATAATTGATGCAAGCAATAGGATCTGCCTTAATAAGTTAATTTCATCTGGTATCATTATAGTGGTAGAACAGGGCTGACTGGTACGGTACTTAAATTACACAAGGACTTAACAGTGATCTGGAAAAGTAACTAGCCTTACACTTGAAAAGAAAAGACAAAGTTGTCCTTACTCAAAATTTTAGCAACTGTGTTTTTCTTGAGTACTTCATTATTATAAGGGTGAAAATAAAGTACCAGAGGAATAGAAACCTCAGGTTATCGTTAGCAGGATAAGTTTCATACTTCTAAGTCTCCCTTGAAAGCATGTTCAGCAGTTTGCAACCTGCCTCATCTTTCACACCAAAAGTACCTGCCAGTTGCCAATATAAATTCCAACTGCTACCCCGTAATTAGTTTCTGTTTGCTGAGTTAATCCTTTACATGGTATTGCCTGGGGGGAAAAAATCTTCGGTTGAGTGATATTTTCTCAGGAATACAACTAGAAATAAGGAAGGAAAATAATGAGAAGCGGCAGTATCAGCAAAGCTGAAGCAAGGCAGTACTATCAATGGGTAGTTGATAAAAGGTCTTCCAACAGACCTTATATACCAGCTGCTGGGGAGGGATATAGCCACCTTCCTCTCTATGCCTGGAACTTCCCAGATGCACCAGGCTGCCCACTACAGTATGAGGTCAATGAACATTGGATTACAGATAGTCCTTGACTTACAACCATTCGTTTAATGAATATTCCAATTTATGATGGTGGTAAAAAAAAGTGACTTATGGCCAGTTCTAATACTTATGACCATTGCAGCATTCCTGCAGGGACATGATTGCCATTTGCAGCCTCCTCAGGGGGCTTCTAACAAGCACAGTCAGTGCAGGAAGAGACTGTGGCAAAGAAAAAAGTTGTAAAATTGGGCTGCAATTTACTTAGTGACTGCATTGTTTAGCAACAGAAGTTCTCGCCCCTGTTATGGTCATACATTGAGGACTATCTTTAGTTGAATCTTTTGGCCAAAACAGCCTAGCTCTTTAGCTATACCCTTTTTTAAGTTCTGGCATAAACTTGTTTTTTTTACCAACTTGTTCACTGTATACTTATTCCTAATGAAACAGGAAAAATGCCATTATTGGCATTCGTAATGAATTTACTCTGAATTTGATTTTGGTGTAGCCCAGTGGTTCTCAACCTTTTTAATGCCGCGACCCCCAAACGGTCGTAAGTCGAGGACTAAACCGGTCGTAAGTCGAGGACTACCCAACCAGTCATAAGTCGAGGACTTTCCCTGCCCAGGAGCGCTGCGCATGCGTGGTTCCGCCCCCTGCGCCAGCCAAGGCGTAGCTGGCAAGCGGCAGAGATGGAGCAGGCCGACCACCAGCTGGCCTAGCTCAAGGGAGGTAAGGCACCCGCCAGAAAAGGGGGAAAACAAATGGCGGACAGCCTTGCTTGGCGACCCCCGTGAAATGGTCGATCGACCCCAAATGGGGTCACGACCCATAGGTTGAGAACCACTGGTGTAGCCTATTCTACTAACTAATATGATCCCCGCACAGAGAGAGAAGGAGAAAAATCTTGGCCATCTTTCCATTTTACGTATCGTCCCGTCTTCTTCTACCAGTGCAAGAGAAACAAAAACAGGGCCAAACATGCTGTTTGACAAAAAGGGAGGTAAGGCGTCCACTTAAAATGTGACAACCTTCCTGTAGACTTGCCCACTTATTGAATTGCCACTGCTGGTAGAAGAGCAAAAGGGCAGCAGGGCACAAATTTTAAGAAAGTGAAAAGGCAAGCTGTGATGGGAAGGAAGGAGGACCTATAAACAACAATGGCCTGCCCAACTACCCTGATGAGATTACTGTGCTTCAGGTTTTTCACAGGGTACATGCCTCTTTCTGTGGTACCTTGTCCTTTGTTTGTAGGGGACGCCACAACTCATGCAGCAGCAGAGGAAGCACAAGATATATATTTTAATCTACTTGTTTGCCTATCAAAGCAAACATCTGATGGTTCTGAAGAGCAGTCTCCAAGTGCCATTTTCTCGCCCCAGTTGTTGTCTGCAATTAATTAGTAAACACTTTATATATAGCAATTTTTACCTCTCATCCTGTGGGGTTATTTTTCTGAGGGCAAGTGGGTGGGTGAGGGAATTTCTATCATGACATTTGACACAGAAACTGGGTAGTGTCCAGTGGTGGGATTCAAATATGTGAACAACCGGTTTCTCTATGTGGATGCTGCTTCCAGAAGTCCATTCTGGGCCTGGGCAACAAAAAATTAGCTACTGGTTCCGCCGAAGTGGTGCGAACTAGCTGAATCCCACCATTGGTAGTGTCTGACTTATGTATTTTCCTATGGCAATGTATTCTGCAATTCAAAGAGGCCCAAGCAGAACTGGGCAATCTGCTTTGTTTGTAGAATATGATACAGCTGTTCTGGGTTCAGTAAACTGGCTCCCATAACCATCTGCAAACTAACTTCTTTGCAGATGATTTAAAATAAATCTAATTTCCAGCTGGAGGGAGAGGCTCTAGGGGGCAATTTTTCTCTCAACCTTTGCAAACCTAATAAGAAAAAAAAACACCAAGCCTCTAATTATGAACTTCACTGTTTGCATTCATTTATTTAAAATATTTATATAGCTGCCTGTTGTAAGCCAAGTAGAAAACAAACAACATACAGGTATATAATAGGTTGCGTAGCCCAGGCAGATAAAGAACTAAACAACATTAAGCTATTTACTTATTGAATTCATTGACAGTCTTACCAAACTGAGAAACTAGCAGCCTTTTCCTCTCCCACACGCCCCCCCCCCAGCAGACTGAGCAGTCTCTTTAAAGGGGCAGTCATCTGGCTGCTACATCTGTCATTCCATTGATCGACAGACGTGATTCAGCTGAGCAGGCTGGCTAGGCCAGTGTCCCTTTCCTCCCCCATTGCGCCATAAACTGTGCACTTAATGGAAGAGGATGACCATCCTAGGCAGGAGAAGAGCAATATTAATTCACAGTGGCAATACCATGTGAGTAAGTCTGGTAATACCTTGTCCAGCATTTTATGAGAAGGCATCAGCTGTCATGAGCGGCATTTCATGTCATCAGGTGCATGGAGTGGCTGCACCGAGGAGATATGGGAAAGGTGGAGGCGCAACTGGGAAGCAGAAATAAGTTGGCCATGCAGATTACATACGAGGCAGACTGCTAGTATCTTATCCATTCACAATTGATAAAGTCCATCGTGTTTGAGACCTTCTCAGATTGCCTGAAACCTTTTAATGTACAGGAGGATCTGGACAGACTTGAACACTGGGTGCTATCTAACAAAATGAAATTCAATGGTGAAAAAAGTAAGGTTCTACATTTAGGCAAGAAAAACCAAATGTACAGGTATAGTATAGGGGGTACCTTGCTCAATAGTAGTAACTGTGAGAGGAACCTCGGAGTCCTAGTGGACAATCACTTAAATATGAGCCAGCAGTGTGCTGCAGCTGCCAAAAAAGCCAACACAGTGCTGGGCTGCATTAACAGAGGGATAGAATCAAGATCATGTGCGGCCTCTGACCCGACGTAGATCTCGATTGGCTC